CCCAAAACATGCATATTTCCAGTTTATAACAAGTCTAAAAAATGAACACAAATAGGGCTAATCTATCATGCAAAAATGGCCCTAAAAGAGAGATTAAACACAAAGGGACAGCATCTGGCCGCAAATGGCAAAGATCCCTTCAACAAAGTTGAAGAGGGGCTCAAAACAAGGTACTTTACAGTTTACATCAAGCCACGGAAATAATCACAAATAAGGCCAAACTATCATGCAAGAAAAGGCCTAAAAGAGGGGTAAAGAGACAAGTGGCAGCTGATGTTCTCAAACAGAGGAGAGCCCTTGAACAATGTTGAAGAGGGGCTCAAAACAAGATATTTCACAGTTTATGAAAAGGTCCAAAACAGCTCACAAATAGGCCTAAAATACTATGAAAAATTGGCCTAAAAGAGAGATAAAGAAGAAAGCGATAGCAGGAGGCCTCGAACAGAGAAGATCCTTTCAACAATGTTGAATAGGGGTTCAAAAAAAGTTATTTTACAGTTTATGGAAAAGTCCAAAACAACTCACAAATAGGCCTAAAATACTATGCAAAAAATGGCCTAAAAGAGAGTTAAAGAAGCAAGTGATAGTAGGGGACCTCAAACAGCAGGAGGTCTTTGATCAAACATGAAAAGGGGCTCAAAATATGACTATTTACAGTTTGGGTCGGAGCCCAAAAATGCTAGCAAGTATGGCTTAGATACAAAGCAAAATAAGGCACAAAAGAGGGAAAATGGGACTCACCCTTGTAGACCAATGGACCAGCAGCTCTTGGGCCAATTTTGGGAGCTCTTCACCTCTGGAAAGCAGCCTCAAGTTGCTAGAATGGAGGATGGAGGCCTTGTGCTATGAGGTGTAGGGTAAATGGTGTAGAACTTAAGGGGTTTTGGTGCTTGGAGTAGAGAGTAATGAAGGAGGAGGGTTATGAGCCTAAGCCAAAAGTGTCTAACCCTTAACAATGGTGGTGGAGTGTGTATTATATAGAGGGAGAGAGGCTAAGAAAAATGGGGGGAAAAAACAAATTCAAAAATGGAGCCAAAACTTGTCCCTTTTGGAAAATGGGAGATGTATCATCATATATAGCAAAAACAACACTAAAGGTCGAAAATATCTGAGCTAGGGACAGCTGGAGGTTGTGGAAGATAGTTGGAGGGAAGACATCTGTCAATTTTGGGCTTTCTGGGCATAAGTAGCCGGCCTACCACCTTTTATGGTCGGCCGGCTACTTTTCAGGACAAAAATGGATCTGCCGGAAAGAAAGGTGGCCGGCCAGTGATTGGGAAGTCCAATGGTGGTCTTCCAGGTGTCCAAATTGAAGCCCTGGAAGCTATCTTTCCAATGGCGCAAACCTTGCATTAAAATTACTCCTGTGCAAAAAGTTATGCCTGTTTTGGTGAAGACGCGCAGATTCAGTCCAACCGGAGTGATGCCCTACTTCAATCAACCATATCTCCCTCGCCCGGAATTGGCTTTAGGAGATTCTTGAGTGAAAAATGAAGCCCCAGAAGTCTTCTTTCCAACGGTGGTAGCCTCATAGCTTGATTCCAAGTATGCAAATGAATAGGCCCGATTCGGCGAGGGTTGCTCGACTCTTTCTTAACAGTTCATGCCCATTTTCTCCCCCAACTGGGTTTCTTCCCTCTTCTCTTCTTTTCTTCAACTTCAGACCCCTAAGTAAGGTGTTTTGAAAGATTTTTCAAAGATTTCATCTCTCTTTCATTCATTTCTGCTTTGTCCTTGCTTGGTTTACCGAAAAGCACAACATTTAACAAAATGCGAGCGTTGGAACATCGTAGAAACTTTATTTCAAAAACGTTTTGAAAGAGAGGGTTTCAAGGTCTAAAATCTTTTGATCAAGATTGATTTGGTCAAAAAAAGGGGCATGAAGTTGAGTTTTTGACTCTCTCCTTGCCGAAGAAACTGAATCTTTCCCCTGCACACCTTTCTCCACCATGTAAACCATCAGTCGCATCCAAGTCTTAAGGGCGGTCAAAAATGGGGTGTCTACAGGTACGTGCATTACATGGACTGAAAAAGACACCTAATGTAAGTATAATCTTTTATCCTATATAATTAAAGTCCATTCTAATAATCAATTTATGTGAAAAGTAGAAGAAAAAATAGATGAAATCAAATTTTTTGCTTCTTTTCATAGGTTGGCGAGGCATCTGTTAAAGAGATTTTGCTGCCTCAATGGTTTCTTTCTTGTAATTATGACATCTTAACAAGGTATGTTTTAATGTTTTTAATTTTTTTCATTAAATGCAAGAGTTATTCATGATAATTATTTTAAGATTTTACACTAATATTAATCTTTATCAAATGAACTAGATTTTTGAGAAGTGTAATGCAAATGAACCAGTTTTTGGAGCTTTATCGACAAAGTTGAAGGAAACTTTTGGAACTTTTGGAGCGTGATTCAAGTGAAGACATCATCAGACAGTTTCAGTTTCTCTTTTTTCTTACTAAGAGAAACTTTAAAGACTCTTGTTCTTTTTTTTAAATGATGTAATTTTATATTTTTGAGTTGGGATATGGAAGTTCTATGTTTTGATTAGTTTAGTTTTAAAATTTGAATGGTCTATTTGCAGATTGTTGTAATAGTTATTGCAATTGTATGGTCTGTTTGCATATTGTGTTGTTTATATTATTGATTTATTGTTGCATTAGGATGTTTTATTTGATTTGTAAGATTGGCAGATTTTTTTGGGCTGTTGTTATTGATTTATTGTTGCATTAGGATGTATCAATTGTTGCATTAGGATGTTTTATATGATTTTCAAGATTGACAGATTTGTTTGGGCTGTTGTTATTGATTTATTGTTGCATTAGAATGTTTTATTTTTGGCTCTGTTCATAGCTTAATTTGTTTGTGTTCGAGCTCGAGCTCGTTCGTTTCTAAACGAGCTATGTCGAGCCAAGCTCTAGCTTTATAAATATCTAGCACTCGAGCTCGAGCCGAGCCCGAACATTATCAAATTCTATCGAGCTGAGCTCGAGCTTCGCAGAACTCGACCCGGCTCGACTCATTTGCAACCCTACTTGTAAACATGCCATGAGTTGTATATACCTTACTAGGGAGAAACCTGAAGCTTATGTGCATAATTACTTTAGCAAGGAGACATACTTGAGGACATATTCTTTCATGATAAATCTTGTGCCTGGGAAACATGACTGGACTGAGACTAGATATGATGCCATAGCCCCTCCTTACTATAGAAAACCAGCAAGAAGGCCCAAAAAAGAGAGGAAGAAAGCTGTTGATGAGGCCAAGAATGTACAGAGGGTGTCAAGGAAGTACAAAACAGTGCAATGTGCAAAGTGTATGGGTTTTGGACACAACAGAAGATTATGCAAAGGTAAATTCATGAGGAGGGGTAGACCAACCACCAGTTCCAGAAAATCTGCAAGTCTACCAAGCAAAGTAAATTCATTTCAATTTTAGTAATTTCATTTGTATACAAACTAAATTCGTTTCAATTTCAGTAATTTCATTTGATGCATTTCAATTTGAATTGAATTGTTAGTGCAGTTCTCAAATGCTTTATCTCAATAAGCTGCAAGACACACATCTTCATCCCAACCATCTGCCACTCATGCTGTTTTAGCCCAACAAGTTGCTAGTACTCATCCATCTTTATCCCAACCAGCTGTCATTACTCCATCATAACCAACAATGCCTTGTGGAGCAAGTGCAAGTGCAAACGCAAGTGGATTTACAACAGCTGGAATGAATTGAAACAAAATAAATTTTTTGTAATTAAAATGTTGTTGACTTGTTGGGATGTTATTGAATTGTATTCATAGCACCTGTTCTTTTTGTTTAGGGTTTAGATTGTTATCTTATGTTGGAATGCACAAGTTTTTGTAATTGATATATTGGAATGTTGTTGACATTAAAATAGGTTTTGTAATTCAATTGTTAACATGTTGGTCTTAGGGAGCAGGTTTTGTAAACATATGTTGATATATTGATGCTTAATTAACATGCTTCACATGTTGGAATATTATACATGTTTTGTAATTGAATTGTTGAACTGTTGGTCTTAGACAGTCAAACAGCATAATCCTTCAAAAATATATTTCATTTATAGAAAAAATAATCTTCAATATTACATATATTCCTTTCTCATATCAGGTTACATAACACTTTTTTTTTTTTTTTTTTGCTTTCATTTGAGAGTACTTGCAATATAGCATAAAAATAGTATACAGCTTCCTAGTAACATTTTTGGATACAACTTTTCTTTTATTTTTTTGAGCCTTTTCCACTTCTAACTCGATATGATTTATTTGTTGCATGAGTCTTGGTAGTAGATCAGGTGAGCGGCGTCACAATGATGGGTTAATCCACTCAAAATATTCACAAGTGGCATGTATCTGAAATTTTTAATAAATAAGTTTAGATTTTTTTTTCAATATTATATAACATAACAAATAAATAAATTAATTATTAAATATTGAAAGTGATTACCCCATAATTTACACATCCTATAAATCTTCTTTCCATATTTGCATTTGTCTACGTTGTTCTAACCGGAGATCTTTGGCCACAGTAGTATGTACGAGCTAAACTTTGTTCACTATAGTGGAAAACTTGAGAGGATGACATCTTTAATAATGGAAGTGGTCCTAGAAATTTTTTGGTTGGAAAAAGTGGGTTTGGAATTTTTTTTGGCTAGAAAAACCTGTTTGGTTGCATCATGTTTATATAGGCAAGTGGCTAGCCAAAATGGAGGCAAATTGGTCCTTTCATACTTCTATTTTGGCGCCAAAACACTTAAAACCAGCGAAGACACGCTTCTTTGGCGCGTGTTCCACATGCGCTATTAATTCTACTGATTCTGGTCACTTTTACACTTTAGTCAAAACTACATGGTGTTTATAAGTATATTTATAAATGTTAGTGGTAATGTGAAAAAACATTTAACCACATGGGGTAAAATGTAATTACCCTTTATAATATTAAGGACCTTAAAAATAAAAATAAAAAATTTATTCATTATTATTTTTGTTAATTAATTAATGGATTTGATTAACAACAATCTCTCTCTGTTGTTTCCAGATCTTTAGAATCAATTGGATCATCCATTGAGGCCGAAGCAGAATCAAAAGAAAAAGAAAAAAAATCAACTATAAAATCAAGCTAAAGGTAAGAAATCGATAAACCCTGGTTTGTTTGCATCTAAATTTACAATTTTTCCCTAATATCTCGATTGCATTACCTTCATTGCTCTAGATTTTGGTTATCTACAACTGGGTTTTCATTACTCCATTTATTATGGTTGTTCAATTCAGCTGAAATTTGATATATACATGTGCGTACATGTAAATCCAGCTTTGCTTGTATTTATATTCCAATTTTTATTCACCCAAAAAAAATTCCAATTTTCCCCAAATATCTATGAAAAGCTAATTCAATTGCCATGCATTTAGGTTCTTCAAAGCTGTGTTCACAATGGTTTAGTGAGGAATTGATATGTATGTATATTATGTTATGAATCCGTATAAACACTGGTTTGTTTACTTCTAAATCTACAACTTTTCTCTAATATCTTGCATACATTACCTTCATTGCTCTAGATTTTGATTATTCACAACTGGGTTTTCATTACTCCATTTGTTATGGTTGTTCAATTCAGCTGAAATTTGATATATACGTGTTTGTACGTTGTAAACCCAGCTTTGCTTGTATTTATATTCCAATTTTCCCCAAATATCTATGAAAAGCTATTTCAATTGCTATGCATTTAGGTTCTTTGCAGCTGTGTTCTCAATGGTTTGTCAGCTCATTTGAAGTTTGATCTAGTGAGGAATTGATATGTATGTATATTATGTATATGTATAAACCCAGGTTTGCTTCCATCTGCATTTACAACTTTTCCCAAATTCTTGAATACATTACTGACAGTGCTCTAGATTTGGATTGTTCACAACTGGGATTTCATTACTGTTCATCAATTCAACTCAAATTTGATATATCAAGGAGTTGATATATATGTGTGTGTGTGTGCGCGCGCATGAAAACCCAGTTTTGTTTGTATCAATATCTTCAATTTTCTCCAAATTTCTATGAAAAAACTACTTCAATTGCTCTGTGTTTAGGTTCTTCACAGCCATGTTTATAATGGTTTGTTAGTTCATTTGAAGTTCAATATAGTGAGGAATTGATATGTATGAATGTATGTATATAGGGCCTACATAAATAAGAGATGGGAGGGGAGGAGAGATGGTGTGTGGTGACTGGGGGAAGAGGCTTTGCCGCCAGGCATTTGGTGGAAATGCTCATTCGATATGACATGTTTTTGGTTCGTATTGCTGACTTAGGCCTCTCTATCAAACTAGACCCCGCTGAGGAGAAGGGAATCCTTGGCAAAGCTATACAGTCAGGTCATGCTCAATACGTATCGGTTGATCTTCGGGACAAGTCCCAAGTACTTGAAGGTCACACCCATTCCATCTATTTGTATATTTTCATCAAGATTGTTCCACTTCTTTGCTAATACACTTTCCATCCATTGTAGATAACAAGTTTCACTGTTTCAGATAGTTAGGAAGTAAGTTTTAAGATGATTGAAACTTGAAAGTTAAGAGCATCTACATTAGGCTCAACGAATTTTGTGCCAAATTATAAGCGGAAAACTACTTTTCTATTTTATGTTACTACCTTTTTAAATACGCCATCCATTAAACTCTCTATTCTAGCTTTATTTTATTAAGAAATTATTTTATTATCCATTGTCCCAAAAAAAAAAAAAAATCGAAATAGTGAGGCCCAATCTATCAAAAAATGATTAAATATGGCAAGTAAAACATGAAAATATTGCTCCATCAGCCTCAACACGAAGCAATGTTTTCATGTTTTACTTGCTATAATTAGCCAAAAAGTTAATTTGTTGATTGAGACTAATGTGGATGCTCTTGCAAGTGATTTCTAATGGGTTAGGCTAAATTTCATTTATTGACTACATCTCACTTACCATCTGTGTTCTGCAGCTTGCCAAGGAGCTGAGGTTGTTTTCCATATGGCTGCCCCGGATTCATCCATTAACAACTACGAACTCCATCATTCCGTTAATGTCAAAGGTAAAAATGTAGCTCAAGGGGACTGTATCAGCAGTTAAATCTTTTATGTACATTAGAGATTCTCTCTCCTTTGTTCCGTGCTATTGCGTGTATATACTTGGAAGTTTTATTCTGATCATGACCTGCAGGAACAAAGAATGTAATTGATGCTTGTGTTGACCTCAAAGTTAAGCGACTTATATATACCAGCTCTCCTAGTGTGGTCTTTGATGGAGTTCATGGAATAATTAATGGGGATGAGTCGTTGCCATATCCAGCTAAGGTATTGCCTATACCAGATGACTTTCATCAAAATTCTATGTTTCAAATCAAGAATCAAGATCAATTGTGATTACCAGCTGCAGAAAAACTTACATTATATTATATTTTCCTCCTCCTTTCTTGCTTTTCTTTTTGTTTATTTATTTTTTAATTGCTCAAAATAGAACTATGAGTGCATTTGTACATTGTTATATAACTTTCTTCACAATTTGAGATTTAGTCAATTTCTAATTTTTCCAAAGAGCAAGCCGTACTTGCTTCTTTTTATTTATTTATTTATATAAAAAGACAAGAAAAAAAGATTTACTTGTTGGTCATCCAATTCTGCTCATATGAAGGTGCTAGTCAGTGGGCCCTTACCTTCTTGAACCTATTTTTATTCCATTATGTTTCTTTCTCCATTTTCATTTTGTCTATTTTACCCATTACCAAGCACTCTTGCATGTATACATGTAAAACAGGGAGAAAAAAAAAATTTAAAGCCGGTCCATTTTGACAAGCCCCCTTTATGATCATCTCTATACCCCGGCAGTCTACTAACTTTTCCTTTTTCTTTTGCCTGTTCTTCTGTTTTCTGTACTTATTATCAGTTCATTTGTATTAAAAATATTTGTGTCTGCAACTGTTCCAGCACAATGATACATATTCTGCCACTAAAGCTGAAGGAGAGGCACTGGTCATCAAGTCAAATGGTAGTAATGGGCTTCTAACATGCTGCATCCGTCCTAGCAGCATTTTCGGTCCTGGTGATAAATTACTTGTTCCATCATTGGTATCTGCTGCGAGGGCAGGGAAATCGAAGGTAACCAAGTTTTTTGTCAATTTAATTTCTCAGGTTGTGACCGCCTTACACTTTGATTTTATAATGTTCTAGAAATTCATGTGTTTCATTCAATATCAAGTTGGTGGATAGCTAGGTTCTTAATCATTTGAATCTATATAATTAATAAATGACATAATGTATGTGTTCTTGCACATAGGGCATGGAAAATTGAGTATTTGCGCTGCATACATTCTCTCTTTCTGTAAAACACTAAACCCGTTACTAACTGAAAATATTTGTATTTCATATGTTTTTGTGATCTTACATTTCAATTTTTATTGGTATTGTTCTTTGTACACTCTTGAATTCTAACATTTATTTTACCAGTAGTTTGGTAGTCGTACCACCTCCAAAGGAGAGGCGCATAATTATGTGTGCATAGATATCTAACTTACAAAAAAAAGAGGAAAAAAAAGAAGAAAAGAATTTAACATTGTTTTCTTTGTTTTATTTAAAATGAGCAGTTTCTTATTGGTAATGGCAAGAACATGTATGATTTCACTTATGTTGAAAATGTGGCACATGCCCATATATGTGCTGAACGAGCTCTTGCATCGGAGGTGACAGTTGCAGAGAGAGCTGCAGGGGAGGTAATATTTAAATTCATTTTTTATGTTCTGCTACAGGTTGGAAATTATTTAGTTACTGAACCGAATTTTAGCTGTGCCAATGGTTAATTCTCTCTCTCTCTCTCTCTCTCTCTCTCTCTCTGTGTATAAGTAGAGCAATTTATTAATAATAAAAAGGAACATGGCATAGTCAAGCTTTGTTATGTAATTTGCTCATAAGTTGGGCAATGACATTTTCTGAATTTGAAGGGCTTTAATTGACAAATTTACAATATCATGTTGGTTTTGCAGGCATATTTTGTAACTAATATGGAGCCAATCAAGTTTTGGGAGTTTGTCTCACTTGTTCTTGACGGTCTTGGCTATGAAAGGTACTCATCTTCTTGAAGGTCCTAAACTAATTATAGAACCAGTGAAGGCAGCTTTGTCCCAAGTTTTCTAAGTTGTCCTACATTAGAAGAAGGTAGGAGAAGATCCTAGAAGTCAGTCTTACGTTTGCTTAGGGTGGGGTTTACATCACATAATTTCAAGGAGCTGTCTGAAAGCTTTTGAAAACTCTGTAAGATGATATCTATTGAATTTGAAAAATAAGTACATATCAGTGTGTTTCGTTTCAGTTTTCTGAACTCAGTTTTTTACAAATTGAGTTTTTGTTTTTCGTGTTTTTTTGTTTTTAGTAAATATTTTTTTAAATTTTAAGCAATTTTTTTACTTTTTTAAATGTACTTTAACTTAGATGTATGTAAATACTGAATTATTTGTGAAAAAATATTTTAAAAAATTAATAAATACACAAAAATATGAAAAATATACTGAATTTTCGTAATTTTTTTGTATTTGTATTTAGTGGATTTTTTTTAAAAAAAAATTTCACAAATATTATACTTTCTAAGTCTATTTATGTTAGGTGTGTTTAAAAATTAAAAAATTCAGTGAAAACAAAAAAATATGAAAAACGAAAAAGTAGAATTTTTTGAAAAGTGAAGTTTGAAAACTGGAAACAAATAGAGTGTATAGGATTTAGAGCAACTCCTACTCAAATTAATTGTCACCTTAAACTTAGAAACTTAGACTTTGCTCAATGAGATGACAGCATGACTTAAAACATACCAATCAACACCTGCGTAGCCGTTGTTTGAGTTTATATCTGATTTCATTTAGTTTGCAGGCCAAGAATTAAGATTCCAGTCTTTGTAATAATGCCAATTGCACGTCTGGTGGAGTGGACATATAAGCTGTTAGCCCCATATGGCATGAAAGTTCCACAGTTCACACCATCAAGAGTTAGACTTCTGTCTTGCAGCAGAACATTTAACTGTTCAAAAGCAAACGACCGACTTGGCTACACACCCATTGTACCATTTCAGGTCTCTCCAGTACATTTACATTTGATTTTCCTAATGTGAAATTATGGAATATACTAAAGACTTCTAGGAATGATTTAATTCTAGTTCCTTTGCTTTTAGGGGCTTGAACTTTAGCAAAGTTCTCCATATAGATTGTATCATTTTTTTTTTTTTCTGAATTTGCAGTGCTGCACTTATTTTCTTCGGAGTCACATTAATCTGAACCTCCAAGTGATGATGAACTGTTAATTTCGCCATTGCATAACAATATATATTGATAGTGGATGGCAAATGTTCCCATGTCCAAATGCCCGTGGAAGTGTTCTCTCAATATTAATAGAATCTTTGTTTAGTTCATTATTTTTGCCACAATGTACTTCTAAATGGACAACATCGATGTGTATGCACATCAGAGAAAGTCAGAGTCCAAATATACGTGGTGCATTTCTACCTTTTATTATGATTCAAATTCGTATGTGACTTGCTGTGTTAATCTTTCATTTTCTATAGGACGGTCTTAGAAGGACAATTGAATCATACTCGCACTTGAGGGCTGAATGTCAACCTAAAAAGGATGGTCCATCAAAAGCTTTCTTATATCTTGGAAGAGGAAGAGGTAAGAGTGTTAATTATTTTCTTCTCAATGCCATATTTATGCTTGCATTTGTTGTGTCTTAAATTTGTTTACAATGAGGACTTAATGTGCATATGAAATTATTTAACTGTGATTGTGTTAATAGTAGTCTGTTTGCTGCTGCTTCATGTTGCAGTTGCCGACATGCTTCTGTGGAGGAATAAGAGGGAGACACTCACCACAGTGTTCATTCTTGTTTCAATTTACTTCAACTTCATAGCATCGGGATACACCATCATCGCTATGGTTTCAAAGCTTCTCTTGATGGCATTTGTTTTTCTGTTCATCCATAGCATCTTACCTAAGAAAATGTATGCATGCTATTCTTTTTGAACTTCGTTATGCCCATGTTTCTAGTTCGCTCAAGCTCAAATTATTAATGCCATAAGCATATAACATATTATTGTTCATTTGGGTTTTATTCTATGGCTATCTAATGCAAAAATAGTTCTCCAATTGCATAACTCTTAACACAATTTATGGTTCTGTAGAGGTTTGATATAAAGCATTTCCAAGAAAGCTAACTTTCATATCTAAATGAATTTTCTATTTATTGCAGATTGGGATATACAATTGAGAAAATTCCTGTATCAAAATTCTATTTCTCGCAAGAGATGTCAAATGAAGTTGCTCTTTCAATGGCCTCTTCGTGGAATTCTGCAGTAAATGGTTTAATATCTCTTAGCAAAGGGAATGACTGGACTCTATTCCTCAAGGTATTTATCGCAGTAGCATTTCTTGTCCTTTATCATAGGTTTGATAGAAACATAGGACATTATTCAAAGAAAATAAATATTAGGATTAACATCACGCTTCCGCAACTATTCTTTTGTTTGCATGGGATTATAAACACTGCTAAAACAAAAATGTAAGAATAAATACATAGATTAAGTCCATCCCCATCCCTTTTCCCTTCTTGGAATTAAAAAAAGAACAATTGTTGCATAGAGTTGTGTCCTGACTCTCCGACCTACGGTTAGTGAAATTGTACCATTACAAAATTGTTAAGTTAATCCTTTAGGTTACTGTACTATTTTTTTTTTATTTTTTATTTTTTGTGTGCATTATTGAAAATCTGCTGATGAACAGGTGGTTATGTCTCTATCGATTCTCAGCTTCCTTGGTGCCATTTCACTCCAAAATTTGTTTGTTATAGGTTTGTTCTTTATTGCTCTCCTTTCCAGGCCTGTTTGGAAAAGTCTTGGTTACCTATATAAATTCAGAAGCTCTTTCACATTTCATTTCAATTCAATTCCAAGTCACTTCAGAACCTGAGCGGCAGAACAGAAAAATCAACTTTAGAATCTTTTAAAAAAAATTATTTTAATCTTTCGTCATATAGCATCTTTGTGATGATAATTGCAAAGAGACCTCAATTTTTGGGATTTGATTGCAGCTTTGACCGGAGCATTTTCTTTCTTATTATTGCAGGACTTCCCGTTGTCTTTGTTGCTTTCTTTGTGTATGAGAAAAAGGAGGAAGAAATAGATGGTTTGATTTATCAAATTATTTCGTACGGATGCAAATTGAAATCCGATACAGCCAGAAAATTCTTTAACTCGAAGAAGATTCAGTGATAGTGGATAGATATTTGACATCTTTTTGCCGAATTGACATTGGAATTCCATTTTTCATTGCTTGGGCCCTTCTAACTGGTTTTCGGATGATTTGAAATGAGAGCATTGGCAACTCGGTATTTGCTTGTGTCCAAGCTGGTGCAATGTAGTGATGAAGATCCTTGGAACATTTTTGTGCTGATCCAATGCTCATAGAAGTTGCCAGTGTTTTGGCATGTGCTTTCTGTTTTCTGTTTGTCTCCTGTTTTTTGTTTTTTAACCCTAGTTTGGTGTATGTTGTATCAGATAGGGGTGGGCGCGGGTCGGTTGCGGCCACGGAACCCCCAATCCGCCATCCGTCCGCCAGATTGGCGGATTGAAAAAAATCAATCCGCATCCGTCCGCCAATCCGGCGGATGTGGATTGAGCGGATTGGCGGTTTGGCGGATGGATGCGAATCGGTTTGGCGGTTTAAAATTTTATAAATTTTCAACATAATTCAACTTGTGCACTTCGGAAGCACAAATACAGATGAGAAACATTAATATGAATATGAATATCATGCCTCATCCACATATTACAATCACAGTATGATTCATCCCCATAAAGTATTACAATCTGTGATTCTTAAAATATAATAACAATTCAAATCACCAAAACCATGAACAGAGCAGTAGTAGAGATTGAATGTCTCTGTATTGTTACATCTACATATGTTTTTGAAAACAAAAACCAACCAGCATATATCATATTTTCTATTCATTATTTTTAGAGTTACATTTAAAAACTAAAAAATATATATGAATAATACGTTTATTTTTTTCAATTCAAAAAATATATTCAAGTTGAAAACTTTTTTTCAACAGAATATTTAAACTCTTTTTCAATTGAAAACACAAATATAATATTTAAACAAATTAAAAATACAAAGTCTTATAAATTATTAGGGGTACTCGCGATTTGGCGGTTTGACGGTTCGGTTGCGGCTAAAAACCCTCAAATCCGCCATCCGTCCGCCAAATTGGCGGATTTGAGAAAATCAATTCGCAACCGTCCGCTCGTCATCACGCATCCGTCCAAAATGCAGCGGATCGGTTTGGTTCGATCGGTTTTGACGGATCGGTATATCCGCTGCTCACCCCTAGTATCAGATATACTAAAAAATGTCTTGTTAGTTAAATGGGTTTGATTTGTGCTTTGTGGGAAGCTCTTTGATTTGTGACTCCTCATTGGGCCAACACAATTTTAAACCAAATTTTGAGTTTTGATTGATAGCTGACCTTTTTGAATATTCTTCTTGGTGCAAGCTAATTTTGGGCTGGGTCACGAAGCCCAACTTGATTTTTATTTCAGATAATTAAACTTTGGGCTTCTCTCTGGTCCGGGTATGGATAGGAAGTGTGGACTGGAGAGGTCCAATTACATCATGAATATTTGAACTGTTTATCTTACAGGGCTTAATCGGTAGATCATCTAAATTGATTCGACTAGCATAATTACATAATTTTATCATATATGTTACAAAAAAATGAATTATTTGTTTTTAAAGGCAAATTGTGATAGTCGTCCTTGTAATTTAGTCTTTATGCCATTTTAATTGATTGGATATTGATTTAAATTAATAATTTTATTTCAATTTGGTTTAATTGATTATAACTTTTAAGATTTTTTAATGAAAAATATGTATATAAGTGGCATGTTATATAATTTTTTTTAAAGTAAAATTATAAATTTAATAAATTTAGTTAATTAATCGCAACTAATTCAACAATTATTTTATAACGGCATTATCAAATGGACTAAATTAGTATAAACTTTAAAATTAAGAATCAAAATTGAGCTAATTGAAAATAAAAAGATCAAAATGATACAAGGAGCAAACTATAGAGATGTAATTTGCCCTATTTTTAAAATTGGCCCTGTTTGGTAGGATTTATTTTCAGTTTATTTCAACTTTTAGCTTAATTTAAGCTATTTTAATGTGTTTGGTTCAGCTTAACAATACAACTTATAATTTTTTGTAAGTCAAAAATCAACTTATTCTTTGAGTGGCGGAGGAGAAACTTAATTTATAAGTCAAAAATCAATTTATATTCACAGTTATAAGCTATAAGCTGTTAAGTTATAAGTTATAATCAATTTCTCACAGTTCTACCAAACGGGACCATTACACTGGTCATCTTTTTTTTTTCTTTTCTTTTCTTCTTTGTTTTTTTAAAAAAAAAAATCAAATATTATGAAATTATGTAGCCACAATTATCATGGCTTTTCAATATCCCACTCAAAACACACACCCCTCTCTCTCTCTCTCTCCCTCTCTCTCTCACACACACACACACACACAAACACACACACACACACACACAAACTATACACATCACTTCTTACACCACAACACAGAGATGCACATACTCACAAAGGGTACCCTCCATGCCATGAGCAAGGATCCTCTTTTTGGTTTTTCCGGTATTCGATTAACTTGATTTTTTACAGGTATGATATACATGACAAATCCTAAAATGTGAACAGTTTAGATCATCAAAATTGGGCCCAATGACCCACCAAGTAAGGAGCCAAGGAGAGGATCCTTGCTCCCATACCTAGTACATCCCCCCTTAAACAACCCAAAAAAACAATTTAAGCAAGAAATTAAAGTTGGTGAAATATAAGGCATCATATATGGGCAATGGTATGGTACACACCCCCAATCTTGTATTCAAATACCAACATCAAAAGATTCAATCACTTCCCAAAAACAAAAATCTATATTACATCTACCAAATGTGACTAGCTTTCAAGATGGGGCCAAAATTCATAGCCATTGCTACATGACTTCAAGCTGTTCCCACCGTGCAGTTAGCTCCGCTATACAAAGAGAGAGTGAGAAAATGAGATAAAGGAAATAAATCTCCATACCATTTTTGTGTTCTAAAGCTCTGGTCCAGATTCTGACAACTCTTCTTCCTCCTCTCGGGGCCTCCGGCAAATGAAAGGAGGTGGTGGGGGATCAACAGTCAAAGTTCCTTCTAAAACCTTAATAACCTCCCCTATGGAAGGCCTTGTTTGCCCGTCAATTTGCAAACACCAAAAAGCAATTCTCAGTGCTCGCTCCAACTCTTCCAAATCCTTCATGCCTTCTATTCTTCCATCGACTATACTCTCCGCCTCTCCTTTTACCCACTTCTCATAAGCCCAATAGCAAACATTGTCAGCTTCTCGACACCCACTCACCAATTCCACCACCATCTTGCCAAAATCTTTCACATCCTCATCTGCTGCTCCACCATTGTCAAATGCCAACCCAAATTCACTCACCTTGGCGTCGAAGTTTTCATCCAAAACCACGTTTTCACATTTTAGATTTCCATGACTTACAAACTCCCTGCACTGTGTGTGCAAGTATGAAATGGCCCTCGCCACGGTTACACAGATCTCCATTCTCTTTCTCCATGTCAGCCTCTTGCACGCCTTACGGTTTTCTATGCATTGTCTGAGTGAGCCATTCTTGGCAAACTCGTACAGCAAAAATCTATGATTCGACTCACAACAGTAGCCCTCCAGCTTTACAAGGCTTTTGTGATAAATAGTTCCTATTTTTGAAACAACGCAACGGAACATCCTTTCTTCAATGCCCGCTTTCAGTTCTTTGACTGCAACGAGCTGGTTATCTGGAAACATGCCTTCGAATATATTTGGCCCAATTCGGTGCTTGAAATTCCCCGTAAGGTCTTTGATTTCAGCATAGGATAATGTGATCAAACCGTTTGAGTTAGGGCCCGTGTAAGCTAAAGCAGCTTTCGTCCTGATATAATTCCTTCGCTTGTAGATGCAGAATCCAATTCCAAGTTGAAATAGAAAAAACACGACAATTGTGCACGAAGCCACTCCAATTAGACAAGGAATGCACAGCCTATTCAACTGTTTCGGTGAAGTATCATGTACAGGGGATATGGGTAAAGCAGCAATTGGATCGGAGCACTTCTTAACGAAAGATATTGAACTTAAAGATGGGTCTGATTGACCAGTGATGTACTGAGTTTTTGTGATTTGGCATTGTGCAGTCCCATCATTCACGAAGGTCACAGAAGTGCAAAGCGGGTCTTTTTCACACAAACTCTTGCATTGTTGCAAACTAGTTTGCGCAATTGTTTCGTTTGGTGGGTAAATTCCATATAGGAAGGTGTGATTGTATCTAGTCATTATGAAACCGGATTTACAGTCCTGTCCATATGGAACCAAACATTTTGAGTTAGAATCGGTTGTTGATGAAAACGGGCATTTGCATACAGGGAAGCTTGATGCATTGAAGACACATATGCCAGAGAGGCCACACGTTGCAAAAACTTTACACTGATTCTCAACAGCTTGCCAAACCGGTCTCCATGACCTAAGAACATCGAGCCATGAGTAGAGCCGAAGATTTCCATCAACATCTAGCCTAAGAAACCGGAGTTTCACATTTGAATCATTGTGATCTTCTCCAAACACAGACCAAACAGGTTTGGATCTTCGGTCAAGAAGCTGCAAGATTCCATCAGAGTTGAGAATGGCTCGGAGAATTGATTGAGAATGGATTCCATTTCCACTGGTCCAGTAGACGACATGACTTTCCCACCGGAGTTGCAAATGACCTGAAATGTCCATACGAAGGCTGTAGTAACTCGACATGGAATTCCTGCTAGCAGCTCGAAGTGATTGGGAAATAGATAAATTCTGGCCCGGGAGGAGCGTGTCTGTTGGGGTGTCGAAGCTTTGCCAAACGATTTCTTGCTTTCTGTTGAGAAGAATGAGATTGCCACTGTCAAGAAGAACTGCTGAAGCAACCGATGAATTGGTAGTTTTGCTTGTCCAAACAACGAATCCCCTAGTGGAATCAAACAAAACTAGTTCTCCATTTTGGGTCAGCCGGAAGTAAGACTTGTCGCCAACTGTAAGGTCAGCTCCGGCAACCCAAACCACAGTTTGTTGACCAATTGGGATAGAGTTTGAATTGAACTGGATCCCAATACTGTACTGATCTGAACGATTAAAGAATCCAATTGCAAAATTCCCATTGGAGGAGGACCAATGATTGTTTTCTACTACTGAAAGTTTCGAACCCAAGGGAATTTGAGAGACAACAGCTGAACAAAGCAAGAACCCGACAAAGATCAAGAGTATTCTCTCCTGGCCAAACATATTCGAATGTGCCTAGAGATACAGATTAAGAGACGTAAGAGTAGGAGCAGCCTCTAGTATCTGCATTGTTGACAGTGGATAGCAGAGTTATTGAATCTTGGTTTTCCAGAAACAAATAGATCAAAACAGGCAGCTAGTTTAACAACTCTTGATGCTTTTCAAGACCAAGCAATTCTAAAGAAGATTGTGAACAAAAACAACAAGAAATCAAAGACAACGACAAGTCTAGTGCCGATAAATTTTCACTGGCTATTAAAGTGATTGAGCCACATTTTCACAATTTCTAACCAATACCAGTTGAAAATCTACTAGTCTGTAAGGTTTTAAGAGAAGCTTACAAAAAAATTCAACATGATCAACATGAAGAACATATAAATATACATATGATAATGTGTGAATAATTGAAAATGTAGAACAATTAATGCAGAGTTTGATACCTGAAAAGACTTTCAAAGCCCTATAAATTCAAGAAGCCACCAAGCACCTACAAGAAATTAAGCATGTGAGCAAACAAGAAATGGATGAATGACAATTGAATCAGGAAGCATATTGACCTAAACAATTCAAAACTGGACCATCAGAAACTAACTGTAAAGCAATAAAAACTTGTAATTAATCTAGAAAACAAACATATTGTATGCATTGATTGGGTTTTGAATTGAAACTATGGGCACAAAAGGGGCCCAATTTAGGGGTTTTTTATTTTATTATTATTATTATTATTATTATTATTATTATTATTATTATTATTTTTTAGCATATACATAATGCAAACACTTTCAGAGCTCAAAAGTGAGACTGATAGCAATAACTTACAGCAATAACTTACAGCAAGACAAAGATTAAAGGGCCAAAACCCAAAAAGCTATTATAGCGTATTTATACATATACACACAATTAAGTATGCAGATAAGAACTATATATATAGAAATTGATAGAATGCATTGAAACCCTGCTGAAGTAGTACTAGCAAGTTAAAGAGGAGAGTGAAAATGAAACCCTAGAATGAAAAGGTAAATTTGATGCACTAAACAAGGTACATTTTGAGATCAATCAAGTGACACTAAATGACTTGAAATGCTGAGCTGTGTAGTGATAATATTAAAAAGGGTTTGGACTCACCACCAAGACAAGAGCATGAGTTGAACCCATTTGCAAAAATGGAGTCAATGTCGCCGGAGAAGCTGACGGAGAGTCGCCGGATAGAAGAGAGAGAAAGTCCAAGTCGGAGCGACTGTGTGTAAAGAAATGAGCCACATGCCTCTGTTTATAGATTAAAGGAAAAAGACAAGAAAAAATGTTTTAGTTTTGGATTTTTAAAAAATAATTTTTGAATTTTCAGTTGTATATTGGCCATGTTTATTAGAACTTTTTAAGTTAAAAATTAATAATTAAAAAATAGAAGGAAAAAAAATTCCTTAGTTCTATATAATTAAATCTTTTAAATATTATTTTAATAAATTATAAGGAAGAATAGTACAAAACATACTCCTAATTTAAAATAAATTATAATAAGTTAGTTTACAGAAATTTTAAAATATTGTATTCAATTTTTTTACTTTTTAACTTAAGTTAGAGATTGTTTGAATGATTTATATAAGTATATTTTTTATTTTTTTACGAAAAAATATATAGAAATATTGAAAAAAATCAGTGTGTTTAGTTTTAATTTTCTAAAAATTAAGTTTTTCATTTTTCGTATTTTTTGTTTTTAGTGAATATTTTCAAAATTTTAGTCAATTTTTTTTTTATTTTTTTTAGATGCATCTTACTTAGATGTATCTAAATAGTAAAATATTTGTGAAAAGATATTTTTAAAAATTAATAAATACACAAAACTATGAAAAATATACTGAATTTTTATATTTTTTGTTATATTTTTAGTATTTAGTGACTTTTTAAAAAAATATATATAAATATTATACTTTTTAAGTGTATTTATATTAAGTGTGTTTAAAAATTTTAAAAAATTACTGCAAATATTTAAAAAATTCATTGAAAACAAAAAAAATAGAATTTTTTAAAAATGATTTTTTTTTTGAAGATCAAAACTAAACAAGCTAATATAACTCTAAAAAGATAAATATATATATATATATATACTTTTACAGGAACGTGTCTAGATATAGCGGAAAATTAATTAAATAAAACATTACATGCATTACATTTTGTCAACTTTATTGACTAGATATTTGGAATGTCGGGAAGAACCTAGGTCAGCATCTAGCCCATTCATTTGCCACAATTTGCGCCATTGACCAAAAAATATTGAAGAAAATTAGTGATAAATTTAATTTAGAGAGTGTTTAAGGCATTAGATTCAATGTATATTTTTTTGTTAGTGAGAAGTTTATGTTTTGTGAAATAATTTGGTGAGAAGTTTTATAAGACATTTTGTTTCTAATTTTATCCTTTGTCTTTTTTTTATTTGTTTGATTTTTTGTTGACTATCTGTTCAAATTTTTTACTTATCTGCTTAAATTTATATCTATCTATTTAAATTTTTTCTCTATCTATTCAATTTTTTTACCCTATTTGTTTAAATTTTTACTATTTGTTGAATTTTTACACATCTCTTTTTTCTCTATCTGTTGAAATTCTCATGTTTAACTTACTTGAATAGATCATATACACTATTCAAAAACTTATCTGTTCAATTTTTTTCTATTTGCAAAAAATATATGTTCATGAATCCACTATCTATTGGAGTCATTTTATCTCTCCACTATCTGTTGACCCATTACAAATCTCATCAACAACATTCATCAACAGCAACAATCAAACGGCAATGATCTTTTGACCATCATATCTATGTTGTTCCAGATCTTTATTGTTCGGCTTCAACAGATCTGAGGTAAGGAGTTCTTCTTCTTCTTTGCAACTCAAATAGCGAGACTGAATTAATTTTTGTTATTGTAAATGATGTTTTCCACAAATTATCAACGAATCAATGAACAAGTTATAGATATAGACAGAGACAGATATATATATATATATTGCAAAACTTTTTGAAATAGGAATTTTTTTTAGAAATGTTGGGAAATTTGTCAAAAAAAAAAACAAAAAAAACAAAATCAGAAACAAATACTATATAAAGAATAATAAATATGAAATTAAAATCAATAGTGTCAAAATAAATATGCTCGATCTCTAGTAGTAGAAATCAAAATCAATTTCAAAATCAATATCAAATTGATAGTAGTAGTAGTGAAAGTGATGATCAAGTGTTGACAGTATGGAAGAGATCAAGCATAAGTTTTCAAGGGACTGATGGATTCATAGTTTTTGATAGTAGCAATGGACAATTGGTTTTCCTAGTAGATAATTACTTTAGGAAGAATCGAAGCTGTGTTTGGATATAGATGAGTATGGCTTGTCCTAATGGATGGATTTAGAAAAGCTTTGCTTACCTTGAAACCCTAGGTAATTAACCACTTTGCTCTGTATAATACATGTCGGTAAGAGAGATCACAACGACGAGGGCAACGAGAGAAAGTGATAGAGATGAAGAAAGAGGATCTCGATTGGGGGGAAAAAACGCGGTAACGCCATGCCAGCAGTAAAGGTCCCCCGAAACCTTTTGATCCAAAAGCTTCCATGGTAGAATTAGGGTTTTTAGAGAGAGCAAACTAGGGTTTAAGAAAGAGAGAGAGAGAGAAAGAGAAAGAAAAAGAAAAAAAAGAGTAGTCTAAGCAGAGAGAGGGCGAATGAGTTTTGAAAAAAGTATACAATATATAATATATAGATGGATAGTTTGATTATGTTGTAAGAACTTATCTTTATAAACAAAGTATTTTAAAGTCTAAATTTCTTATCAAAAAAATCTAAAATTGAATTTATAGATTGGATGTGCTTTATAATATTAGTGACAATATTTTGGAAAATTTAGTCTAGCATTTCTTCCCAACTTTTAGTCATGGGAAAGGTCCACAATATTTCTTTTTGTAGTCTAAGGTCCTCAGCCATATCCTCTCTCTTCTTTCTCCTTCATCCCTCTCTCTCTCTCTCTCTCTACCTATACATATGTATTTATATTAAGTGTGTATACACGTGTAGGGATCGAGGTTTCATTGATTCAGGTCAATCCAAGACTGTTATTCACCAACATTTTTAATCTGATTTCGACTCAAATCTTAGCTATGAAATGACGGAGTTTAGAATTTTCTAATTGTGTTTTGAGTAAAAACTCGATTTCAAAGCTATTGAATTTGAAGGGGATTTGTAGAAAATCCAAGCTGTTGAATTTGAAGAGGAATCTTAGCTATGAAAAGTCTCAATCACACACGTCCGTATCAGTAACCGCACCGATGTCGGATTTTTCGACGAAGAAACTTGTAAGGCAATTGGATTTTATAGGTTTTTGTGGCACATCAGCAGTGGTGGTGTTGTCGAAGCAACCTCGGCAGCCGCCAGTGGCTCAACCACTATCGTTGCCACAACAACAGCTACTGGCAATGCCAATGCAATCTCAGTCGCCTCTTCTTCAATTCGGCCTGTTTAAGTCTTCAATTATCTATTTTTCTTGCTCTGATCATTCATGAAGTTTCAAATTTGTTTTAAAAGATTTGGTTTTTGGAAGCTGAATTTCTCTAATTTATGAAAGGTTCAAGGGTTTTTAATGATAGTCCAGAGAAAATTAGTCAAAATAAAAATAGTGATTGTTCAATTTTCTCCAGTTTGTTGTTGTTTGAATGTCTTACAGTCTAGAGAAAATTTATCAAAATGAAAATGGTGGTTGTTCAATTTTATCTGGTTTGTTTGTTGTCCGAATGTCTTACAGCCCAGAGAAAATTAGTCAAAATGAAAATGCTGATTGTTCAATTTTCTCTAGATTTTTGTTGTCTGGATATCTTATAGTCCAGAGAAAATGGGTCAAAATAAAAATAGTAGTTGCTTAATTTTCTCTAGGTTGTTGTTGTTTAAATGTCTTATAATCCAAAGAAAATTGGTTAAAATGAAAATAGTAATTGTTCAATTTTCTCTGGGTTGTTGTTATTTGAATGTCTTACCGTCTAGAAAAAATTGGTCAAAATGAAAATGGTGCTTGTTCAATTTTATCTAGTTTGTTTGTTGTCTGAATGTCTTACAGTCCAGAGAAAATTAGTCAAAATGAAAATAGTGGTTGTTCAATTTTCTTTGGTTTGATAAAAAACATAGAGAAAATTGATCAAAACACAGAGAAATTATCTGAGAAGTCCAAATATATTCTCTAGATCAATGTTGAGGGACCTTAGACACTATGAAAATATTGGGTGTCTTTTATGCTATAAAATCTTAATACCAGGAACCTTAAAAAAATCCCCTTAATATTAAGAGTTTGTTTTGGTATTTTCTTAAATAAATGTATTTTTAGATAAGTGTACTTATTTGAGTCATATTACATCTATATTTTTTTTGTATATTTTTTGGTATGAAGTTAAAAAATGCATTTATTCGTTTGGCAATGTACTTTTTGGCTAAAAAAAATACAAAAGACGAAATAGGTTAAATAAATCAATAAGTCAAAATGTCATATCTAACCCTTAATAATTTCACTTTTTATCTTACAAAAGTAAAAAAAGTATAAAAAAAAAAACAAAAAAAGCTAAACAAACTTTTAGGGTTGGTTTGGGAAGTGGGTTGGTTTTTTGACTTTTTGACTTTTTTGACTATTTTAGCCTGGGCTAAAAAGCTTGGTTTGGGAAGAGCTTTTTTGACTTTTTTGACTTTTTTTGTGAGAGAAGAGTGTAATGATTATGAGTTGGATGTGATATTTTATTTGTTGTGGCTAAAATAGCCTATTTTGTCTTTTGTGGCTAAAATAGCCAAAAAAGCCCACAAAATTCCTTCCCAAACGGTGCCTTAGTCTCAGGTTTGTTTGGCAAATCACTTTGCCTCCGTTTGGGAAGTGGGTTGGCTTTTTGGCTTTTTGGCTTTTTTGGTTATTTTAGCCTGAGCTTAAAAGCTTGGTTTGGGAAGGGCTTTTTGGCTTTTTGGTTTTTTTGAGTTTTTTTGTGAGAGAATAATGTAATGATTATGGGTTGGATGTGATGTTTTGTTTGTTATGACTAAAATAGCCTATTTTGTTTTTTGTGGCTAAAATAGCCAAAAAAGCCTGCAAACCCACTTGCCAAACACAGGCTTTTTAACTTAAAAGCTAAAAAGTCACTACAAAAATAAAAAAAATTAACAACTTATACCAAACAAGTCAAAAATTCTTTTTTCTCTCTATTTTTTGCACATCTTTTCGTAAAAAATTAAAAAGTCATCCCAAGCATACTATGCCT